CAGGTGCCGATTTTGCCGGTATTCAAATGATCAGTTCGACGACATCAGCTGTACGATGTTTGGTACAAGAACTTCAAATATTAATGTAGATGGAAGGAATACATAATTTCTTGTACTGGAATGATCTAATCTATCGAAAATCATACCCGAGATTTTTGGGTATGCGTCATGGCTATATATGAAAGTACGTGTTTTCTGACGTTCAGCGATACAGCAGAATAAAGTAAAGTTTAGAATTTATGTGCGGGTTACAGATAAAACGCCCTCCTATGGGTATACCCACTGGGAAGCCAACTTGCAATGTTGAGCAAATGGTTCCCCAGTTAGAAGCACAACAAAGTTTGTCGGCCTACGAATTAAACCAGTTTCAATTAAGTAGATTCATCATCATTATTGCTGTTGACCGAAGAAGAACAATGCAGCTCCACTACCTCACTACATATCAGTTCATTCGAATAAAGCTTTATAACGAAAAGGAAAAAGGCTGGATAGAAAGTAGAATATTGTCGTCGACTGTCACAAACAGTCCCGGTGCATACAGATCCTGAACTCAATCATTAGGCTGCCAGATGAGATAAACTTGGTGTCTTAAAGGATGGTATCGGTGTGTCGATGACTGTGGTGCTTTTGTTAACTGTAGATGTTGCAGTTAATGGCACTGGATCTGTCAGCTTTTAAAATAGGTCTACAGCGATGTCACTGGAAATGAAGTGATGAGGAGAAGAAGGACGGACACATAAAAGAGGAAAAAGAAGGCGTCAGTCGTATGCTGTGTTGAACTACTCGTTCCGTCTTGTAAGTAAAGTGACCTGGCTGACGGCACTATGCGATGATTCATTTGGCACTGGGTTATTTCTACTCGCACTGCCAGAGTATCAATGCTTAGACAGCAGAATGACTGGGGTTCTCAGTCAAAAGCTTGGGCTCAAAAGCCTAAGCGCGAGGAAGCGGTGGTTGGCCTAAGACTAACAGAGCATTCTGAACTTTCAAGGAAACATTTACAAGCTCCAACCTAGAGAACCAATAGACTATGTTGGTTGGAGCTCTATACATTAGCCGACGTATTATGAGAGGCTTTTTGAGTAACACCCGTATACCAGGACTAGACCCGAGGTGGTAAGTGGTTTCACTGCTCTCCTTGTTGATGAAAGCAAGGATATATAGCCACAACTCTGTTGTATGAGCTGATTATGTAATACAGATTAGCCAGTTAAAGCATTCGTGTTCTTTCACGGTTGTCCCAAGATCCAACAGATTTAGATTTATAATGCATGTTTGTATTCGCAGTAAACATATGATCTGACTCGAATACCATAGTTTGGGTAGTAGAAGTGTCCTATTGTTCTGACGCTTCATCCAATCTTCAGATTCATAGGGGGAAGGGCGAACGTAATAATTTGCCACCAACCGCAAATAAATATTTTATCGGCGTAGTAAGTCCCATTTTTCGGACTCGCACAACCAAACACGAGAATGTTACGACCCAAACAAAGAAACTGATACGAACAAACTCAATTAATTTTCACAAATAAAGCACAACTGGGTTAGTTCTTTCAGAATGACAGGAGCGATTCCACACAAACACTAGAAATTACCATTGTAGCGATCTCACGTGGCGTTCGTTTCTTGTTTGCTCGGGTCATCAAAACAATTGTATAAAAGGAGTCATAACTGACGTTCGGTCGTTCTTTTGTTTTTTTTGCGCGCATCGAATGCGCGCATATCCTTCAAGAAGGGTGAGGATGTTGCTAAAAATAGCGGGTACTAACAGCTGGTTACATTGAGCTTTCTTGCACAAATTGGGCAGTGGAATTCCATAGGAGTGAACCGATATTTGCATTACTTCCGAGGACATATTGCGTACAAAATCACAGAGGCAGTATTTTTATCGGTGGAATGTGGGGACTCGTACTGAGCGCTGCAACTCTTCGTGAATTATAGATGAAGAGGTAAGGATATCTGGTTTGATATTTTCGAATCTGGGGAAGGACACTTAAAGTTTGAAACCCACGATTGTTCTGTACAAAATTGGAGGGTTAAAAAACAACCTTCTGTAATTTATTTCTGGAACTCTTAGTCTGAGTGATCGTTAGCGACCGAATGAGCCGACAGACATGCCTAGGTGGATGATGTGACTTGTAGTCGGCTGTCAGAAAGTCGAAAGTAATATTCTGTGTGGCAGGGAATTGAAAGAGATTGCACATAACCTAAGTGTAGATGGTTTTTCTCCGCGAAAATGGAATAGCACCTGCAAAACGACGTCATTAGTGTTTGAGAAACTATGCTACTATGCATTAACTTGCACACTGAGAAACGAATTTATTGGTGGGTGAAGGTACCGTTCAAGATTTATCGAGAATAACAATCGTTTTTTGATGATTTATATCCATGTGACTGGATTGCATACAGTATTTTGATTGGTAGGTCCGCGAATTTATCTTCCAGACATATCCATTTATTGTGCCTTTTGGTGGATAACCAATTGAACCATAATTGAAGTAATAGGCCCTGGTCAGGTTGATTCCTTTTGTAAGGGATCCCACTGAGGAGAAAATGCAGCAACGAGCGCCTCCTAACGAAAAATGTGACTGTGGTTCTGGACTTTGCAAGTGATTTCCATGTTCACTCAGACAGACCTTTTGGTTCCTAATCATTGGGATTTATCACACTAAATTTCACTAAGTTTGTTTTCAATTTGGGTGGTTAGACCAATGGTAGCTCAGTGAATCAAGGGACATGATATCGAGATAGTACAGTAACAACTAGACTGAGACGGAATAAAAATGCGAACCCTCATCAGTGAACATCAAAAGGTATATCTCTTAAAATGTATAACCCGCTTGCGGAATTTTCAAACAAACCAATAACAGACCATACTGAGCACTATTTCGTAACATTAAGTTGAATGTTTCTGTGGTTCAGTGTAGATTTGGGCGCATGTGATTAATACTGCCTAAAGTCCCATTAGCTAAACACAAATGAAAGACCAAAAGTGTGAATATGATGGTACTTGTGGGGGTTATTCTGTCATGTATCAACTAAACAACGAAAGCTAACATTTTTGTAACTGTCCGGGTTATTACTGTTCTACCCACACATAGGACCATTAGTTTGCTAAGAAAAACTGAATCCTGCAGATGGTAGTTTGAGGTTTGTACGTGTGCCACTGTCAACATTAATTATTGCCCTCGGTGAAGATGGAAGGAAACATCACAGTTTTGGACGATGTTCCGGTTTTATTTTGATTTCTCTTTGGGCGTGTGATATAAATCACAGTAATGAACAAATTAATCATTAAGAAATAAAAATGGGCATGTTCTGCAGTTTATCAGGATAGTAAAAGCTAAGGGAAGAATTTCTTCTCTGATATTCTGATACGATGTAAGTTATTATTTCGCAAGCATACTTGGACAGGACTATAGCTCTGCTTCCCCATCTTCTTGCGCTGGTACGATATAAGCGCAGGCTTATCAAAATGTTACACGATCGAGGCTGACACATTCTCACAAATTGCACAATTTAAGTGTAATTCACTAACCTTAAGCATACTTCAGTGTCTAATGATCATCCTTGGGTGTTCATTAGGAAACAGTTGGCGTACTTCCAAGCCGAAGAGTGGGATCATTGTCTTGAAACTTGGTGTTTTTATTAATCTACCTTTCGGTGCGAACCACTTCAGTTAGTATGATATTGTGTTCAGCACAGTTCTGAGGTATGCGGAGGCAACTGCTATTCGCAAGTGGAAGTCCACTCCATTTTAACTCAAGCAGCTCTTCGTTTCCTTGGTACTGCTGTGGTAACTGTCGAACAAGTCATTGACATGACTAAGTTCCATTTATCTTTAATTATCATTTAAAGATATAGAGCTTTGGTCCTACATGTGAGGCCAGTTTATGCTGAAACAGCAGACAAGCATCTTTCAGCACAGATCCGCTTACGGCGCGAAATCTCCATAAAACTTTCCCCAATCTCTTCACACTGGTTAAAACTTCACTGTATTGTACGCGCCTGCTGAAACAGTGACATAAATCAGGAATAGCGCACGAAACCGCACTGTATGCCCTTTACTAGAAAAAGCTGTTCCACATATAAAACTCGTGCGGTAAACATAGTTGGGCTAGTAGATACTATGAGATCGCGTTGTGCCAATAAAAACCTCACCATTAAGGCTTTCTCTACAGTTTTGTCGTCTCTCTGTGTTACACAAATTTATTTGAACTTGTAAGGAAGAAATACGGATTTCCCTTCCTCGAATATTTTTCTGAAGTGAAATATTTGGAAGCAGTGCACATCTAAGGAAATTATAAACAAAGTTCAGCTCAGTTATATGGCTTCAGTAGATTACCGTTCTCAGCATGGTTGCAACTGAACTGCATGATCTTGACCGTGAACCAAAATCTAATTACATTAGGCAGTCAAATATTAATTCACCGACTAAGTCAAACCTTCCTCCTCATTGGCACTTTCGTAACACATTTTTAGACAGTTGGATTCGTTTGCTGCTCATAACCAAAGTGTTCTGACCCATTGCCATCAACCCAAACAAAACATTTCTTTCCTTGCATGAGAGACGATTTCAGCAAGAGTGCATTCTACTTTCCCGCTTATTTCCATGTACTGGTTATGTTTTTTGTCCCAAAATTTTCTGCGCCTACAGCGGCTTCAAGAATTCGGAAAGCTACTAGTTTAAGGAAGAGGACCTTCGTTGCGAAGTTATTTATTGAAAAACACCAACTGAACAGTTACAGTCTATTGGAAAGGGAACGAAGCTGTCATATGCACTTTGTTTATGAAAACTGAGTACTCGCCTTCTTCTCGAACGCGTCTTTCTGAACTTTCCTGGATGCTCATTGACTTTCACTCAAATTTGAGCGAATTCTAGGAAGCAATTCTACAAATTCCTTAATAAATTCCACTTTCCAAAAGACGCGAAGCGGATTTACGAGAAAACCATATACTACTCGCATGCCTCCCCCATCAGTAGTGTCACCGTAACACACCTTCCCCGTTCAAAGGTCATTCGCATGCCATCGATATTCATTTAACTCCGTTAAGTCGACTCCAGCAGCTGGTCTATTTGGTCGCTCTTCAAGTGTATCATGCCACTCATGAAGCCCGACCCCATTTGCTCTTTTCAGTTCCCGACCGTTTTCATTGTACAGATGTTCCCCCGGCGGTCGATGACGACAGACGGACCTTGCCATCGACTCCCTAGCTTTCGCAACCCAAGCCCACTCCTTCCAGGACTCTGATGATCCTTTCACTAGAACTTCGCGTCTATGGGGAATGTTCGTGCCTTTCTATGTACCATTTTCTGCCTGATTCTTTCGTGAACAGCGGTCAAGTTTTCTCGAGTCCTCCTTTTTTCCTCTAGCTCCTCCGGAGACAAGCGTGTTGCCGGCCACAACCCAATTTTCTGATCAACCGGAAGGCGCGGGTGCTGACCGTAAATGAGCATAAATGGGGGCTTGCCTGTATTGGCCGTATGGAAGCACGGTGTGCTAGCAACATTATTGGCAAGTACACATCCCAGTAACCTCCTTTTGCCGCCAGCCACTCCTTGATAGTTCGGTTTGCGGGTGGTACGGTGCCGTCCTTAGCCATCTGATACCCGGCTTCTGAAAGCAATTCCTGAACTTCTCGCCCTCGAAGCAAGGCCGCTGAACGGTTAGGATTTCTGGTGGTCCTGATCCACTCCAGGGGTTTGTGACCAGTTTCGACATGAAAAACTTGCTGAAGCAGATATGGCCTCCACTTATCCAGGGCTCAGACGATCGCTTAACATTCTTTCTCAATGGTCTAGTACTTCTGTCCAGCATTAGTCAGGACACGACTGGCATATTCAATAACTCCATTCCTCTGCTTTAGGACTGCGCCGATACAGCGATCACTAGAGTCTGTTGCAACAATGAACATCTCTCCGACCCTGGGCATTTTGAGAGTCAGTTGCTGTTCCGACATCCGCGCTTTGACACTCTCGAAAGCCTCATGCGCTTCCCCGGTCCATTCAAATTTCCGATTTTTCCCAAGCAAGTCGCACAGTGGCGCAGCGATCGTGTTGAATTCTTTAACGAACCGGCTGTAGTATGCTGCTCGTCCGAGAAACTGCGATAGAGACCGCTTTGAATTTGGAACAGTACAATCCTCGAACTTGGCCAATTTTTCTGGCAGTGGGCTAACATCTCCGTGACCCGATTCACGCCCAATCAGGGTCACCGAACTCCGAACGAACTGTGTCTCGGCTTCATTTATTCACAGGCCAGTCTCCCGGATCCGATTCAATACGGCGTTCAAGTGAACTGCATACTCTGGCTCTGAGCTGCTGTACACAACGGTATCTTCTCCGTACACGGCAACATCCTGGAGTCCATTCGTTAAACGAAGCATCATGCGCCGGAATGTGAATGGTGCCCAAGACAAAGCAAACGATATCTGATATTGGGTGTAGCCAATCGTGAAAGCCGTTTTCTCCGGGCCATCCGCCTTAATAGATAGTTGTCAGTATCCAGAGTGAAAGTCGAACACCGTGAAACATCGACAATGATCGAGGGAATCAGAAATCTACACAACCGAAGGCACAGCTACAACCCGATTTACGGTTGGTTCATCCAAACGCCGGGAATCCACGCAAAACCTGTATTTTCCGTTGGCCTTGCTTAGAGGCGCAACCGGGGATTTATACACAATATTGGCTTTCTAGATTATGCCATTCTTCAACATCTCTTGAAGTTGTTTATGCACCTCCACCCGTGGATGGAGTCGAAGCGGACAGGGGCCGTAAGTTCAGAAGCATTCTGACGAGTGAGGAATTTCATGTTCAGTCGACGAAGCCAAACGGACCCTCATCTCCCCTTAACGGTTCGGGATATTCTTCGATCACAGACTGTACTAACGGCACGTTACAAGACGGAAGCTTTTGGACATGCAGCTCACTCAAGGTAGTGCCTGAATAAACTGCAAACTTGGCTGCACCATACAAATTTTCCATGCTTTAGGTCAACCACGGAGTCTGTGCTCTTGAGAAAATCTGCCCCAAATATTGTCTGTTCTATGTCTGGGCTGCTCAGGAACTCGTGCTGCCCGGAGTTGTGGCATAGGCGTATTGGGTGCATTGACAATCCGTCAATTTTCAATCGAGATCCGCTCAGTGCTCTCAGGGCTAGAGCGCATGGTCTACATTCAGCTTGGTTCCCTTTCCGTCTCAGCGATACCTCTGCACCCGCATCAGTCATGTACAGCTCCCTCTTCCCGTCTATCTCGATAACGGCCTATATGGTAGCTTGTGTCACTGTGCTAATCGCAACCCACTCAGGAAAAGAGAAGTAATTTAACTTTTTATTATGTACAGGTGTTCGGGTACGAGGAGATTGATTCTTCCAATGGTCAGGCACGCCAAAATTGTGGCATCTGCTCTTTCGAGTGTGCCTTGGAACTCGGTCTTGACGGCTGCAAGCTGTTCGGCGAGTTAGTCAAATTTGTTCTTCAGGTCCTTAATTGTTGAGTTCTCCCTGTTCTCCTGCGAACGAAATGTGGTCCCGTAGCTTCTCGGTCTATTTCCGTGCCAAAGGAACCAGGGGCTTTACACTCAACTGGCCAGTTGCTCTCGCTGGAGAGGGTCTTCAGCGCCTCTGATCTGTTCGTTAAAATGATCACACGCGGCTTGCGAGAAAGAATTTGAATAATATGACTGACGCAATACGACCTAAATCATCATTTTGCCTTACGTTTGCAATGGGATGGTAACAGGGATTTGAGAAGCCTCTACACTATCCCATCGAAAGATTATGAGAAAGTCGTGAATGACGCTAGCACAGATGGATAAAATTCTTCATTTATAGGAAAATACGTATAGTTTGGATTGGCGGCTGGTGTGGTTTGGTTTGATTGATGGAATCCACTAACCCTGGATGACCAGGAATTTGCAGCCTAATCCATTCAAGCCATATTGCTACGGTACTGGAGGTTTTTTGTGGGGCTCATTAATGGAGTAGACTACTCTTTTATTAAGGGTTATTAACCAAACTGAAAGATTTAGGGGAGGAATGTCTTTTATCCATACGTAGTCTTTTCAAAATGGCTGGCCAAGGTGGACTTTTGCTTCTTTTCTGTAACAAACCAATGCGGTTACTCAAATTGGACAGCTTGCTACTACAACTCGTACCTTAGAGTATGTTTTCAGGGCACTTAAATAAAACGGAACCAGTGTTTGGAAGGATAAACCGCATAAAAATTAGCAAAATTAATTCTGGGCACCGCAAACGAAAGTATATTGAAGCGTGCATACAAGAGTGAACATATTCAAAGAGACTAGTTTCATAAGATGCAAATCCACTTTACCACGAAGTCCAACTTTTTTCACACACGCAAAGTGATGGGCAGCTAATAATTTACACGATCTCTGGAGAATTGCTAGCACATAAATGTAGTGCTAAAACGACAACTACGGATGGTCGTGCAATGCAAATGGGCGCGTACATCGTCTGAAACCTTGTCGTCCATTGATTAAATTCGATTTCAATGTTGAAAAACACATTTTGAACGCCTCATGAGTAGATACAAAGCCAAAATTTAGTTGATTTGAGTTAAATAGATTTGTTGTTTCTGATTTTGTTCATCGTCAGCTAAAAATATGTTTGGCTTGACTCAGACCGCCCCATCGCACGTTTACAATTGGGTATGCTTTTAATTCATCAGCCGCTAGTTTCACTCTGTGTTACGAAAACGACGAAACTCTACTGCTTTTGGGCTTTCGAATGAACGGGCTAAATATTAGTGATCCGGTTTTAGATGGTCCCACGGTCAGACTGATCAGTTTGTATTGCAGCGTTCACTCAGTATAAGAAGTCGATGTGAAATAATCAGGTTGAGAAACCAGCTGAGTAGTAGAGTCCATCGCACCGGCGACTACTCATATCTGGAACCCCTCATTTTGATCCCCCAGGTTTATTCTGAAAATTGCATTTTGCTAGATGCGAAAAACCTGCCACACGAGAAGAGGGGTCTCTTCCCGAATGAATTTACGACCAGAGTTCCTCACCAGCTTTCTTTTAGTTTTCCCATCTGTGGAGAAGCCAGGTGTAATACTCCAAGAAACTATGTTTTCGGAATCCATGGAACGGACACATCTAGTCTGAGCTAATCTTTCTCAATGCCACTCCTTTGGATCCTGGACTAAGTGGGGTATCTACAATTAGCTACCACAACCTATGCATCCACTGCCTTTATTTAGCAACGTCATTTATGCTGGTACACAAACCAACCCACCTGTAGTGCAATCCAGCTCTCATTTACCATAAAGCGTTCAGGAAATATAGTTTCATTAAGATGGAAGGTGCGATAAGGTCTTAGACCTTTAGACAAAACGATCACCTCGAAGATCAAGCAGCCATCGAACTGCAATAAATCAAAGATACCTGAGCTTCCCGTCGATGTGCGAATCCACAACTTGGATTGAGCTGGCACCTTTTCTACCCACAGCCAATAAAGGTTCAACGTACAGGGACAAGCATTTTAGTCAGACAATCCATCCAACTAATGACCGGATTTTAACCATTGGGTTTCGTTACGTGCGTTGTCTCATTTTGTTTTCGGCCACATGCAAGGCGAATCATGTCAGTCCGATAGGCAAGCTCAGTCAGCACTCGGTTTGACTGAAGCCTCCCTACTCCTCATTGACACATCTCTAGTGTCCTTTTCCAACAGGGACTTAGAATGGTAACCAAAATGTTCTGTGGTATACGGTGACCGTGGTCTCTATCACCCCTAATTCGATAACAAGAACACGCTTACGCACCACTTCGCAGTGAACAGGCTGCAACCTGTTAGCCCTTGGTATTCTATAATAGCATCGGTAGCAGTGTTCGGAGGTGCAACATAAGCAAGTAACCTTTCACGTGAGAGCAGCTTTTACGCGCACCTCCTACGGAATACCCTCAATATGACCTTGTAGCCCCTTGAAACTAAGGTGGAACAAGAGCTAATTTCAAAGATGTGGTTTGGATGTTCGATTTCGTTGTGAACACCAGTAATTAACGACCTCGGAGTACAGGATAACCCGTATATACAGGTCATGGGACGCCACCTCCGAAAATGGTGTCAGAGTAAGCAAGAGACTGAAATTGAAGTTAACAGCAGTGGAAACCTCATTTTTATCCTTTGGGAAAATGTAGGAATTCCTGTTGAAATGTAAAAGCAACAATAAAATAAGAGGTCACAAGTGAACTCCACTTGTTGCGTGATCCTAGCATTTGCGCATTTTCCTGGTTTATGATCCGCACATTCGGCATGCCCGCAACTGTGAACATATACGCAACTACGTATGACGCACGGGGTCCCATCAGAGCCGTTATCTTCCCAGACATGTGGGTGGGCGGCTATTGCAACGCTGCATTGCGGCTGGTGAGTCAGGCAATTCAAAGTGCGTTTCTTGTCAGGTCGTCTTACGGACAGACGAACAACTGAGCTCGGTCCACTGGTATGTAGGCTTAGCAACAAGTGCACACACGATCAAGCCCGACGGCAACAAGAACACCATCCGGATTACCCACAGTTTTCGATGAACTGTACGAACAGGCTTGACGCGAATTTTATTTACAACACCGCAAGCGTTGTCGGTGCCATGAGTAAAGCAATCGTGTCGAGTGCACAGTCAGGGAGCCCAAAAAAATTGACTGACGTTGAATTTTTCTACACTTACCAGTAAGATGACACTTGTGACATATTTTTTTGGACAGTGTAGGTTTTGAGAAACTTGGCGAGACTATGATTCTTTTATCATTTTTCACCCTATAACTTGTGCGTGAGGTATTGGGCACCATCGGAATCCGAACTTGGGTATATACCCGGTACGTGGTATCACATGAATTCCATGACAACTATTACAGCTGGCAATGTTGCAAAATATAGATAGCCCAAATCAAAAGCACCTATGAACTGACTGCAAGACATTTAAGACAACGGTTATTCTCAGGCCTGTAAAATCACGGGACAAAACGGAAAACTGAATACATCAGGGAAAACTGCGACAAACAATATTTTAGTAGATTGGAGGGAAAGTTGATAACACAAAAAACATACACAGGCTTTCTAACAGAGACCATGACACATTGTCACTTGTTTCAGTTCGCGAGGATATCAGCTCAGTTTGGATATCGTGCAACTGCTTGTTCACGCAAGAATGAAACAGGGGCGGGGGTTGGCCGAGGTGTGTTATTCTAAAGAGAAATTGATCAACAAATACATTGGCTGCAACGCAGTCTATCAGCAGCTGCTAACAAAATAAGTTCATGATTGCGGGAAATCAAAGAACACAGTAACAGTCAACGGACCAGTCGGATAAAAGATAGAATGCCCCCACCCAAACAAGTGGAGCAAAAGCAGACCACAGCGCAAGAAGAAAATGATTCAGTCGCAGCGGAGAAACAGAACTGTTTAACTATAAGCGCTTAACGAGGTAACCGGATAAAAATAAGTTAGCCAACAACTCAGATTCTAAGTTGTTTGGAAACTATGTAAGAACCGGCAGAAAAGCAGCAAATTATCCAGTCAACCGCGCACCGACGATGATACCCAGATTGGTGGTGAAAGTTCACAATCTGTGAACACACCAACCACCAAACAGCGCCCCGGGTTAACTATATTCTGCAACATCGCCTCGCCAGCTGTAAAAGCTGCTACGCAGTTCAGGTGATATCACTTGTCCAACAAACGCCTGCGTTCCGCTTCTGATGGTGCCACAAACCTTTACTCATAAGGTGAAGTTATAGAGCAACGTGTGATAAGAAACTTATTTTCGCTAGATTTACGTAAATCACCATTGTCCAAAAAATTGTGCTACACTGCTCAGTAAAATGAATCCCTAGTTAACCGAAAACCTGTATTTTAGTCACAAATTAAACAAAACTCTGAGGGACGTTTCTGCGCTTACTTAGGGTAACTGTAATACCGAGCATTCGAAACCGGATTGTTTTGGGTCACCCATCAATATTCTATTCTCACAAAAGGATGGGCAAGCAGCGTTCATCAAGCCCACTAATATCTGATCCCTGTTAACAGACCGGACAAGTGTTTTGTCAAATAATAATCAGGCGAATTTTTAACTAATTTTTTTATTAGAACACGTAAAATGTCACTTTGGGATTGAATGGCATTTCACCCTCGAGAAAACCCTCTCTTGAGTGTTTTTTGCTTAGGAAACAAACCGGTTGTTCGTCGCATCTTGCCATAGTTTCAATCGGGGTTCAATGTTATTCATGGGGTGATTTTGACAGTGAGAGATAAACATACTGACAGGGTTCATGTCCATACGACCACTGATGATCCCGAAATTTCTGCTGGAGCACCGGTGTGTCAATCAAATACAGGCTCAGTCGTTGAATCCTGTTCCGACATGATCTGTCACGACTTCATTTCCTGGTGCTATCCAGCATCAAGACCTTTGTGTTCATGATGTAGCAGCAACCAGAAGTACAGATCCTCACGACTGTTTGTATGCGAGTGACCGCGGTCGGCTGACCGAAGCTCCAAGATTAGGTTTTGGAAAAACAACGAACGAGTAAACGGTGCCTTATTGGTATATCTTTGTCAGGAGCGTACATACATGCAAGAGAGTCTCACTCAATAGATTTCAGTTTCCTGGTATTCAATCAGAAAGCTGAAGTTTAAATTTGCCTTTGGCTTAGTCACTGTGATGTAGAAATCAGCGCACCTCCTGTGCACCTCCTGCGGTTGTTGATCCCTCGACGGCCGATGCGCGTAGATAGCCTGAGGTGGTGGATACGTATATTAGCATGTTCCTCGGCCAGAGATCAAGCAGAAAACACGAAAATATTGACTATAGGGTGAAAACTAATAATACATCACATAGTTAAAAACTAGGTTTGAAAGAATGAGTTGTTCGGATGTCGAAGGATAAGTGAAATGTGGCAAATACACTCATTTGCAAATCAGTTTGTTTTTCGAGGGAGATTCGAGTGAATCTCTCGCTCATGATGTTTTTCAACTGGATGTGCTGCACACAGGCTGTCTGTGTTTCAATTGGTGCGATATTCGAGATGTCGCAGTATATTTTCATGAAGAAAACTACCCACAGGCTTGCTGAAGACTCTTCGACAGCCAATTTCGGTTCAGACAGGACATAAGTTTGACGGAAACTCGGGAAACGCACCTACCTGATGAGCCCCAAGAAGGGCAAAACCGGTTGTGGGCTGTCGAAGAGTTTTCAGCAACTTTGTGAAAGCGGGAAGTGAAATGCTCCAACAAGTGCCACCTTTTAGATGACTCAGTATAGCCTGTAAGTATAGACACCGGATTTCGTGGTACAGATCCTAATAAAGCTTCGGTAGAGGGCAAGTAGATAGATCTAGATAAACTAGTGAGGGTATTTCAACTTAGTTAAGAGTTGTTCCTTGAGAATGGCTAAGCTTATAGTGACGTATGCCCTGTAAAGTATTCTTATATCGAACTCCAAGAAGAGATAACTTGTAAAAAAAATTTTATCCATTCTTTGCGTAATTGCCTGTAAACACTAGAGGATCACCTACCGTTCCCTCACTATGACTTGTTTCCAGTGTCTAGTTTTGCGAGTAGGATCATCTACAGCCACATTTACAGGTTGGTTAAAGAGCATTTCAACAGTGAGATGCAATGCATGGACGAGAAGCAAGGATAATTCGGGTGTGATATCATGTGACGTCGGTCCTTTGGCCATGCGTTTGATACTTCCCAATTAGATGAATTACTTACTCAGTGCTTGAACGCAATCAAATAACTGATTTTGATGTCAAACGACATTTTTTGCGCAAAATTGCAAAGATGTATGGTATCTTATCCGTTTTCAAGCTAATGAGGCGTTTTAAAGTCTGTTAGAACTCAGAAGACAGGCTTAATTAACAAAATCGTGTAGGTGACTGCATAATAGTTATGAAAGATCATTAGGCTAGCAACAATTTCTTACCACTTTGAACACTAACTGTGCACCATTCATCAGCGATTCCAAGGACTCCATCAGGCGGCCATCGCTTGCGTTGTGATTGATCCAGTTGTTTTTACGACCGCTCGGATATATCATTGATTTATTTGTTCCCTGAAGGCATGTGCAGATTCGTTACGATGGTTAGAGCAGCGGCATGACCTCTTAATCGCCGTGGTAGTAGATATATAAGGAACAGCAGCTATGGGGAGAAGTCAGCCAAAAAAGATCATGGCGCTTTCCGCCGCACAAAAGACCAACAACGGTGGGGTTTTTGGAGTCCAACGACAATTTGATGAACGTTTAGAGAAACTGTAGGTCCGTGTCTTGATAATTTACAAATTTTCTGCAGGCATCATTATCGACAGCATAACATCAGTGTTCAACACTCATGCTCCTCTACCGCACAACCACGATTTGTTTGAAAGTCTCACGGTGAAGAAAAGAATAAAAATGGATGGGAGATGAACTTAGTGCTACATAACTACAATCATTCCGAGGTACCTAGACCTCCGAACACCCATTCAGGCAACCGGGATAGAAACTGGCGACTCAAACTGAAACTGGATCAAGGAGGCTGGTTGACTACTCAGGAGTGAGGCCTGGTATACTGGTCATTGGCTAGACGATGTGAGGATTTAGTGCACAAATGGAGGCCCCAAACGGAGCAAACTGCTGGCCGATGTAAGTAGGCACATATGGGCTACCAAGGCTGATCACTGTCACCTCAGGATATTTTTCCGAACATACTAAACTGTGGTTTACGTATCTACACCAGTCATTTGTGTCGCCTCGGTTATGAGGGGCCAGTTTTTCACGAACGCCCAGAAGGTGGGTGTAGTCTGCTACATTATTTCCTGTCCGCTCATGGGATTAGTGTGTAAAACTTAAATAAGTCCGGGCCGTCTCGGCATTTTTACTTTCGATGGTATGCGGACTTTCAGGCTTTCCTCTGACTGTGTCATGAGGCATCTGGAGTGGTCCTCGGCAGGTTGATGCTGCAATATGGGAAAAAATCAAACTGCCTATGTTCATAGGTCTACAGGTAGCTCCGAAGCTGAAAAAGAGCACTTCCGTAGTAGTTGAAGGACGCAGCAAAGCGGCGAGTTGAATTCTGACGGGAATTCTCGCCAGTGTACAGACAATTTCGGTCACGTGAAATTTTACAGCTGATTTTCGGGTTGTTGATCGGGTGGATGTTGATCTGTTCGCCTAGCTTGGCAACTGAATTGCAAGCGTTCCGTCACTATATGAGGAGACGTCCTCAGTGCGAAGTTGGGTGGAACTGATTGTCTCCTCGTATGGTGACGAAACGTTTTCAATTCAACTGCCAGGCTCGGAGAACAGATCAAGAGCCAGCTGATCAACAACTAATAAGCTCCCCCGAGCTACCGGCGTAACAGTGATACTACTGATCGGGAGGCACGCGAGTAGTATGTGTTGTTCGTAGAATTTCGTTTCGCGTCGATTGGAATTCTGTTGCGGAATTCGCGGGGCCACTTTGTAACATTTGCTTTTATTCGACCGACGAATGATTCGAGGCAATGAATCTCCAGGAAGACTCGTTCGGGAAAAGATCTGTGTCCAGGTTTTGTAACTAAGATGCTTCCTTGTTCAATGGTCAGTAACCGGTCAGTTGGCATTTCCGAATGAATAACCCCGCAACGAAGGCCTTCTTCCTTTCACCGGTATTTCAAAACAATTAATGTTACTGTTCGAAGTAGCCTGAATCTGGTAACCAAGTGCCTGTGATCAAGTGCCCGTTCCCAGCTAACCCACTTGGCCAGTCACGGTGAGGATATAACTTTTCAAGATGAAATAGCCCATAGTCGTGAAGTCCATAGTTTCTTATTCTCGACTGTCTTAAGGCCGTCAGACCAACGGTGCTCCGTGCAGCAGGGTACTGTTGCATGACTGTACCAGGTACACCAGTTGTTTCGAGTTCTAATGCCATAACCTGATGTAAACGGGACTGGTTGCGATACTGATCTTGTTGATTCATATGGTGAAAATTCGTGCAGGCAAGATGTTATAGGTTGCCAATTTCCTCTCCTCACGAACACGCCTTAGATCAGATAGTTGAAGGTGTTATTCAAAGATTATTACCTATCATATTTGTACACTTGAATCTCTCCAAGCAAGCATAATTTGTACTAAAGGTTCATAGTACTGATGCATCCTGCCGAACGCACTTACCGGGACAAGTAATTAACTTGTGATTTTCCTAAAGGTAAGTTAACAGGAACCAGACTCATAAAACATCCGGAATGGTAAACAATCCAACACACAAAATGTTCATGTGTTGCAACGGTCTACAAGTTCCGTTGCTGTTGCTCAGGTTTCATCATAAACAGGTCTCGAGGTACAGTGACATTTCAGCCATACTTCTCTTAGTCACCGTTATGTGCAAACGCTGTTTGTTCATAAATCACCCAGCCACATATGCTGCACTATAAACACATTAAGAAAAAAACAAACAACTACAAATTTGTATCGTATTGTCATATTGTCATTGTAAGACAGCCGAATCTGGATTTTACCACCCACGTAGAAGTCAGATTCGTTCTTGGTAGTGTTTTTTACGCATTATGAAACCGTTGGTCTTCGTACAGTTGATCACAGTCTAATTAGCATAATATATGCAGATGACGACATGCACGTATTCTTCAGTCGCGCAGATAGGAAATTCGACAGTAGTGTTTCAGCTTTACGAACTACCGATAAACCTATCGTATGCTTGACACAATAGATCTGTTGGTGACCATACTTTGAACCTCGAAAGAATGTACTTTGCATGCCTCTACAAGTAGTGACCACAGCTTTCCGGTGTAGTTTTCCGCACCTACAATCCCATGCATCCGAAACCAGCCTACTTTTGGTCTTTCGTCTTGCTTTCTCATAATGCGTTCAATCAAGTCTCTAGCACCGAAACAATTTTAGGATCGAGAAAAGGGTTTCCAGGGGAGTATTCAGTCTATTGGAAAGTTTCCACACAGTCGAACAGTGTGGCTAATATATTTGACAGCGATAATTTGCCCTGCCTTTGCCGAATAGCTCAGAGGGATTACCGTCCGCGGATGTTCCAGTCGGCAAAGAAAACTTACCGCTTAGGTGTAGTACCTAGCTTTATTTATGCAATGGCTGTTGTTTGTCTTCCTAGAACCTAGCTTGTCCTTTTAATGCTCTGCCACTGCTCGTTCTGGGTGCTGAACCAACTGATAGGCTCTTTTTCAGCCATCTGATCGAATACTACATCAAATGATGTCGCACCATGCGACGTCCAGTGTAAACTCACAAGTAAACGCCACCTGACCGAACCGCGGACAAATGGATTAGCAATCAGTCACTTGGGTTGGAAACTAATCGGCTGGTGATTAACATACGTAAACCTGTCGACACACTCGAGGATAGGCAGCTAATAAACGGCAATAATTTGCACCTGGTCGCATACTTTCGCAATGCACAGCATGTCAGTCCGTGCCCGTGACTTCTCCATACGGTCCCAGCGATGACTATGTATGGCTACGCGTCACAAATGCCAGACCGTTTCGATGTATAGCAGCAATTCTTGCACCACATCGCACATCACTCTTAACCATTCTACAGAATACACGGTGTAACCAGGGGAGTAATGTGCTTTCATCAAAGGTGGTTTATGTTTTGAACAGTCGTCCTCCTGTCCTGGCGCAATTATTCATGTGAATCCACACCAAAGGGGGGGGGAAGTACTGGACTCGAGTTTCGCTCTCGTTAGAGCTCATCAGCAGTGCACATCCAATGGCCGTGCCGGGGTTTGAACTCCGGACACCTGACATGCGAGGCGAACGTGTTACCACTATTCCACCAGCGCACGTTGGACGCATCTGAATTCTCACGTCTGAACGGGTGAACGTGTTCTCACTTGAGCGATGTGATTAGTATGC